CCCCCCCCCCCCCCCCCCAATTGACGGAAGTTTTATCAAATTTATACAACTTTTGTAACGCAATATTTCAAACTGCGCATAAAAAAATAAGTCAATGGAAACTATTGTCAGTAACAGATGGAGAGACAACATTTTGTCCAGCAGAAATGTTGCTGATTACACACTCATACACCAACACACACATAAATGCAAAACCCACAATTCCCCATAACTCGTCTCTCTGTTCTGTGTTTATGTGTGTGTGTGTGTGAGAATATCAGTCACAGGGCATCTATTACTAGGCCGTTGAAAACTGATACAGCCACCCTTGCCAGCAAACCCCCCCGCTGTGTGTGTGTGTGTGTGTGTGTGTGTGTGTGTGTGTGTGTGTGTGTGTGTGTGTGTGTGCACGCGCGCGCGCTTGTGGCTGTGTGTGTGCATGTTTCTACGAGCCGAAAGTGAGAGCTGCAATTGACAAGGCTGCAATTAGAACTGGTGTCCAGCCCTCCTCCTCACCGCCCCGTGCTATTACTGGACCACCGTCGACTGAAATAGCCGCGTGCTTTTATTTTAGACGCGCTACAGTCATCTACAGCCCGCGCCTGTGTGTGTGTGTGTTTGCCATGCGCTGCCTGAAATTCTTCAGAGTGCCATGACAAAGATTTCACAAATGGGAAAAGGAATTCTGCCGGACGGTTTGTGACACTCTGTGTGCGCCACAAACGTGTACGTTAAAAACCGGCCGCTTGGAAAATAGTTTGGTGCTGTGCGGTGTGTAGCAGGAAAAATTACCTGTTGCTTTCATGAGCCAAGGATTAAGGTGGGAGGGTAAACCGACTACCTTCACATGAACATTCGCAGCTTGTGAAAACGCATTTCCCGCCAGAGACAACAAAGATTATCTATCTAGCTGTAAAGTAGAGGTGGGGAAAAAATCCATAGTATCGCAATATTTTGCATGGCAATATCGTATCGATACACGATGCCGTGTTTCGATCTTTTATTATATAAACTTTTAATATTGCAATGAGGGATGTCGGGATTAACAGATTTGGCCGTAACTGCGATTATTAAGTCACGGTTTCATAACCGTAAGAATTGATAGAATAACCGATTCCTGCTTAGAAGTTTGTCTTGTGTGCGGTGAAATCTCCTCGTATCGTGTCGTGACTTAGGTGTCGTGATAATATCGCATCATGGGGGCCTCTGGTGATTCCCAATCCTACTGTGAACCCAGCATGGGGTCAGACTTCTAAATCACTGCGCAAAACTCCAGCTCAGAGCATCAAGTAGGTCCACCGTTGTGTTCACTGACAGACGATCTGATGGAGCAACCCGAGAAAGAGGAGGTCCTCTTGCTAGCTACCGAGCTACATCCATGGAAATAAACAAATGGCCTCTAATTTGCAGCCATCTACAGATGGTTTACTTGTCAGAAATGTTCACCTCTGAGTGACTCGAGTGGAATTACAGATCAGTCAAGGTGAGCTTTGGGTGACAATACACTAAGCCTGTGTAGAAACATGACAGTGAGTTGTCTAACTTGAAGGAGTAGATCATGTGTGTACGTCATTTTACTTCTGTTTCGAGAGGTATGACAGATGACATCACCATTTTAGACCGATCAGCAGACTGTGGCATTGTGACATTGCTGTAGCTAGGGATGCCCTGTCTGACTGGACCGAGTACCGATCAGATACCAGTGTTTGATTATGAGCCGTCTGCCTCACTGAGATCAATATTGTACGTGTTAAGAAACGTCAGGCTGGACTTACACATTGCTTTCCTATCTTTGAAACAAAATATCCGCAGCCATTTTAGACCTGATGGCGTAGTACGCGCACATGATCAGACGTCAACATAGAATATAATTGAACAGATCGGCTACGGTTGCCACCGATGCCAATTATCATTTGAGTCCGATATTACCACATAATTTCCCCCTTTGGAGGAAGTTTTCAGCTCCTGAACACATTGGTAATTTATTTATGTAAAGGATTATCAACAGGAATAAAGGTGCGGGAAAATGTTTTTTTCAGTCAGATGAGGCCATCTCCGCAGCAGATGATGGGTCAGTTGGGCGCTGGGAGTAGGGGGTCCAAGGGGCCCCTGGCCCCCCATGGTTCACCAGGCTAAATTCTGCATACTTTCGTTATTTAGCTGATTCCAACAACTGAATTGTTTTAAAGCAAAAATGTACAATATGATCTCATAGTCACAATATGATTCCATTATATGTAATTATATCCCAGCCTTTATTGCAAACCTCTTTTAAAATAAGAGAACAGTTCCAATGTTGTCTTGATTTAAAAAGTTTTAACAATGTTCGTCTGCAACTTGTGCATTGACATAGTGAGGCTTAAGAAGAAAGAAAAAAAACGAGATAT